GGGTGTACAATGGTTTGGACAGGTATACAAGGGTGTACAAGGGTTTAGACAGTTATACAAGGGTGTACAATGGTTTGGACAGGTATACAAGGGTGTACAAGGGTTTAGACAGTTATACAAGGGTGTACAAGAATACAAGGGTGTACAAGGGTTTGGACAGGTATACAAGGGTGTACAAGGGTTTAGACAGATAGACAAGGGTGTACAAGGGTTTGGACAGGTATACAAGGGTGTACAAGGGTTTGGACAGGTATACAAGGGTGTACAAGGGTTTGGACAGTTATACAAGGGTGTACAAGGGTTTGGACTGGTATACAAGGGTGTACAAGGGTTTGGACAGGGGTAATTACTCATCTGGGGTAATTACTCAGCTATGTACCCTCAGGTCTGACGGACACATTCCTCGGACTTGGTAAATGTGTTACGTGTTGTGTAACATGCAAACAGAAGCAACAAGAATTATCAGTTGAGTTAAAAAAAACACATCAAAGTATCAACCAATAATTAGTAATTTAGTTGATTGATTAATTACTGTTATCATGGGGTGGAACTAACTCGTTTTCACAAGCCTTTTGTTGTAGGAGCCTGGTATGTGTGAATCAAATGTAAACTGGCTGCTATCAGAAGCTCAGATAAATATGAAAACCTCAAAAGATATTGTTTTCCTTGGCTATACTGAAAGGAATAATAACCCCTTAACATCACCACATTAACAACCAAACATCATGTATTCACCAGAAGATCACAAACAAAAGTGCCAGAATTCAAAGAAATCCAAAGGAAGCTAACTGAGTATTATAGACTAACTATAGTACTGTCGGAAATGCTAGAAAAATGCTTTTTAGCCTTAGTATCTTTATAAAGGTGATAAATGTACTATGTTGTCAATATATCAACTTGCCTATTGTCTACCTAATTTTTATTTCAATCGATTTAACATCCCCATGCATTTAAAGGGCAGTTTACAGGAGAGAATTTGGTACCAAAACAGCAACTTAAGATTTATTCAGAGTTCAACAACAGAAATCTGAAATAGTCTTTACATTTATGCTAATAATACAGGTGGTGTAAAAATATGAATTAACGTTTTTCCTAAACAAATAAATGTTTAATGTTTGTGTTACTTTACTTAATTATCGTTTTCTGTATTGAAGAAATATTAATATAAATGTTAAGTCTTGATAAATAGGTTTCCCGTCATGCATGCACATCTTTATCACAGCGTGCACTATGGCCAACGATTTGCAGTCGATTGTTGCAAAGGTTTATAGTTTTTTTCTGCTTAAAAAGACAGAGGTAAACCTTTCATTAGTGTAGAGAGGGTTTATTACAGAACTTGTAGAGCTGTTGGCATGTCTTACCAACAAGTTTACAATATTGTAAACAAATCAGACAAGACAGGGACCGTCTCATATGCAAAACCGAGACGTAAAACCATCCTTGACAACTTTGACAAGGGAGTGCTTAGACGGACGGTCTACAAACTTTAAGAGAAGAAAAATATATATAATATATCTTTGGCCAATGTTCACAACTAGATTAAACTGACCGAATTACATCCATATTTTTTCAATGAACTATACTGTTGACATGCAAAACATTTATTAAAACGTTGCACATTTCTACAATCAATCGATAAGATACCACAAGTGATAGGATTCTTTCCAATGTACAGTAATTCGTATGTTTATGTCACAACAAACACACATACACAAATGATCCCTTACATAACTGATGCGTATACTATACGTACACATAGTACACATTTTGCAGAAAACATCTATTGAGATGACCCCTCGCCCGAGGTGTGCTCTGGTGTCAATTTCACCTGTCGATACCGTGCGTGCTGATGACGTAACACAGGCAGTTAATGTTTGTTTCAAATAACGTCCAACTACCCCTTATTTTTCTAAGTTTTTGGTATTTTCATCAGTAAAAACACAGTTTAGAGCATGTCTCTAAATTTATTCCCCCGGTCTACATTAGGTAGATGTTTCTTGAAGTGATATTTGTTATTTAAGTAACTGTAATACCTCTGAATTTTAAATATAAGTCAAAAAGCATTTTTCTAGCATTTCCGACAGTACTTTAACTATGCAACCTCCATAAATTCAAATATCGACACATTCTACAAGTACTAGCCATGTTGCCATTTATCTTTTTGTTAGATATTAGTAAAAATGCAACAAAAATAAAAAGTTATAAAAAAAATAAATATTTTGCAGCATTTTGAGTAAAATAACTGAAGGGTTACATGAATACACTTAAGATTAATTACCAGGTGAAAGTGTTGGTTGGTTTGTCGTGGCACTTCAGCAATATTCCAGCTATATCCAGTGATCAACAGCATGAGCATCGATCTACACAATTGGGATAAGATGACATGTGTCAACCAAGTCAGCGTGTCTGACCATCCGATCCCCGTTAGTCACTTACTACCAGCATGGTTGCTGGACCAGTTCTAACACAATTCTTCACGGTAAGATGGAACTGTAAGCATCTTAGCTGATCTATGTCAGCACGTCCCCTTACACATCAGTTGTGCTTTATGCTAAAAAATTCTGGGATATGTTCCAGGTACCCACATGAATGAGTTAGTGAGTGAGTGATGCTTTAAACTGCATAAGGGATATCTTTGAGGTACTCACGAGTGAGTTAGTGAGTGATGTTTTAAACTGCATAAGGGATATCTTTGAGGTACTCACGAGTGAGGTAGTGAGTGATGCTTTAAACTGCATAAGGGATATCTTTGAGGTACTCACGAGTGAGTTAGTGAGTGAGTGATGCTTTAAACTGTATAAGGGATATCTTTGAGGTACTCACGAGTGAGTTAGTGAGTGAGTGATGCTTTAAACTGCATAAGGGATATCTTTGAGGTACTCACGAGTGAGTTAGTGAGTGAGTGATGCTTTAAACTGCATAAGGGATGTCTTTGAGGTACTCACGAGTGAGTTAGTGAGTGATGCTTTAAACTGCATAAGGGATATCTTTGAGGTACTCACGAGTGAGTTAGTGAGTGAGTGATGCTTTAAACTGCATAAGGGATATCTTTGAGGTACTCACGAGTGAGTTAGTGAGTGAGTGATGCTTTAAACTGCATAAGGGATATCTTTGAGGTACTCACGAGTGAGTTAGTGAGTGAGTGATGCTTTAAACTGCATAAGGGATGTCTTTGAGGTACTCACGAGTGAGTTAGTGAGTGAGTGATGCTTTACACTGCATAAGGGATATCTTTGAGGTACTCACGAGTGAGTGAGTGAGTGATGCTTTAAACTGCATAAGGGATATCATTGAGGTACTCAATGAGTTAGTGAGTTAGTGAGTGAGGTACTCACGCAGTGAGTGAGTGAGTGATGCATTAAACTGCATAAGGGATGTCTTTGAGGCATTAAACTCACGATGTGAGGTTAGTGAGTGATGCTTTAAACTGCATAAGGAATATCTTTGAGGTACTCACGAAAGTGAATTAGTGAGTGAGTGATGCTTTAAACTGTATAAGGGATATCTTTGAGGTACTCACGAGTGAGTTAGTGAGTGAGTGATGCATTAAACTGCATAAGGGATATCTTTGAGGTACTCACCACAGTGAGTTAGTGAGTGAGTGATGCTTTAAACTGTATAAGGAATATCTTTGAGGTACTCACGAGTGAGTTAGTGAGTGAGTGATGCATTAAACTGCATAAGGGATATCTTTGAGGTACTCACGAGTGAGTTAGTGAGTGAGTTAGTGATGCTTTAAACTGCATAAGGGATATCTTTGAGGTACTCACGAGTGAGTTAGTGAGTGAGTGATGCTTTAAACTGCATAAGGGATGTCTTTGAGGTACTCACGAGTGAGTTAGTGAGTGATGCTTTACACTGCATAAGGGATATCTTTGAGGTACTCACGAGTGAGTGAGTGAGTGATGCTTTAAACTGCATAAGGGATATCATTGAGGTACTCACGAGTGATTTAGTGAGTGAGTGAGTGATGCATTAAACTGCATAAGGGATGTCTTTGAGGTACTCACGAGTGAGTTAGTGAGTGATGCTTTAAACTGCATAAGGAATATCTTTGAGGTACTCACGAGTGAATTAGTGAGTGAGTGATGCTTTAAACTGTATAAGGGATATCTTTGAGGTACTCACGAGTGAGTTAGTGAGTGAGTGATGCATTAAACTGCATAAGGGATATCTTTGAGGTACTCACGAGTGAGTTAGTGAGTGGGTGATGCATTAAACTGTATAAGGGATATCTTTGAGGTACTCACGAGTGAGTTAGTGAGTGAGTGATGCATTAAACTGTATAAGGGATATCTTAGAGGTACTCACGAGTGAGTTAGTGAGTGAGTGATGCTTTAAACTGTATAAGGAATATCTTTGAGGTACTCACGAGTGAGTTAGTGAGTGAGTGATGCATTAAACTGCATAAGGGATATCTTTGAGGTACTCACGAGTGAGTTAGTGAGTGAGTTAGTGATGCTTTAAACTGCATAAGGGATATCTTTGAGGTACTCACGAGTGAGTTAATGAGTGATGCTTTAAACTGCATAAGGGATATCTTTAAGGTACTCACGAGAGATTTAGTGAGAGAGTGATGCTTTAAACTGCATAAGGGATATCTTTGAGGTACTCACGAGTGAGTTAGTGAGTGAGTGATGCTTTACACTGCATAAGGGATATCTTTGAGGTACTCATGAGTGAGTTAGTGAGTGAGTGAAGCTTTACACTGCATAAGCAGTTTTGCAGGTACCCGTGCCCATCGGAAACCACAGAACAACAGGAACAAGTTCTAATGTGAGACTGGACTCCCGCTGACCACACCTAATCTTCCCCACACGTTCGGTAAGTTCATAAACATGAACAGGAAACATGTCGCCCAAACTCAGCCGTGTCACCTGTGTCCTGACATTAGACAGAAAGCATGAGACTGTGATTGGAACACGTTCAACATGCATGACCATACTGACATGTGGATCCTTGAGGTGAACCTTGAGAGGTGGAGGGATGTACACACTCACCTGACCCAATAACGCAGAGCCACAGGACACAGGTGTGGGTCCACTTCTCCATCTCGTCGCGATACACAATCATACCTGTCCCGCTTCGCCGATCCTACATCTTAGTTAGTCATTAATCCAGGATCACCTAAGGGTGGACGCCCTCGTTAATCCATATCCTGCTAATCTCCCACAATAATCCAGGTAGCAATTTTACCTGGCAAACGAATGTCAACACTGACGTCACTTCCGTTCTGGTCATTTACAATCGAGATAAGAAAGTGGCGTTCCGCTGGTGACTCAGTACGGTCTTCAGGCTGGTGTGTCCTAGTCACGATGAGGGACACTACACGGTCAATTGGGGGGCCATAAACAACCTGGCTGACATATCCAGCTCAAAGTGGCCATAACAAGGCGTGTCCTGTTTGAAACTTGTGGATTCAATAATTATTTCAAGGGGTTTAGGTTTACGGTTTAGATTTTGCATAGTGTTTGGGTAAGGGTAGGCTTCCTATGAAAATCATCTATTCTTATGAATCTTAGGCACAGAATGATAAAAAAAACGGTGGTTACTGGCGGACATCTTACCAATTTTTCCAGACTTACATGCACACCCTGGTCTTACACACCCCGTTTTTACATAGATTTACATACAAACCCTTGTCTTACATAGACTTACATACAAACCCTTGACTTACGTAGACTTACATACAAACCCTTGTCTTACATAGACTTACATACAAACCCTTGACTTACATAGACTTACATACAAACCCTTGACTTACAAAGACTTACATACAAACCCTTGTCTTACATAGACTTACATACAAACCCTTGTCTTACATAGACTTACATACAAACCCTTGACTTACATAGACTTACATACAAACCCTTGACTTACATAGACTTACATACAAACCCTTGACTTACATAGACTTACATACAAACCCTTGACTTACATAGACTTACATACAAACCCCTTTGACTTACATAGACTTACATACAAACCCTTTGACTTACATATACCCTTGACTTTACATACAAACCCTTGACTTACATAGACTTACATACAAACCCTTGACTTTACATAGACTTAGACTTACATACAAACCCTTGACTTACATAGACTTACATACAAACCCCTTGACTTAGACTCACATACAAACCCTTGACTTACATAGACTTACATACAAACCCTTGACTTACATAGACTTACATACAAACCCTTGACTTACATAGACTTACATACAAACCCTTGACTTACATAGACTTACATACAAACCCTTGACTTACATAGACTTACATACAAACCCTTGACTTACATAGACTTACATACAAACCCTTGACTTACATAGACTTACATATAAACCCTTGACTTACATAGACTTACATACAAACCCTTGTCTTACATAGACTTACATACAAACCCTTGACTTACATAGACTTACATACAAACCCTTGTCTTACATAGACTTACATACAAACCCTTGACTTACATAGACTTACATACACACCATAGTCTTACATACAATGGTCTTACATAGACTAACATACACACCCTTGTCTTACATACACACCCTTGTCTTACATAGACTTACATACACACCCTGGTCTATCACGCCCTGGTCTTTACATAGAATTACATACACACCCTTGTCTTACATACACACCCTGGTCTTACATAGACTTACATACGCACCCTGATCTTACATAGACTTGCATACACACCCTGGTCTTACATTGAGTGAGTGAGTGAGTGAGTTTAGTTTTACGCCGCACTCAGCAATATTCCAGCTATATGGCGGCGGTCTGTAAATAATCGAGTCTGGACCAGACAATCTAGTGATCAACAGCATGAGCATCGATCTGCGCAATTGGGAACCGGTGACATTTGTCAACCAAGTCAGCGAAACTGACCACCCAATCCCGTTAGTCGCCTCTTACGACAAGATAGTCGCCTTGTTATGGCAAGCACATGGGTTGCTGAAGACCTATTCTACCCCGGATCTTCACGGGTCTGGTCTTACATTGACTTACATACAAACCCTGGTCTTACATAGACTTACATACACACCCTGGCCTGACATAGACTTACAGACTGACTGACTGACTGAGTTTGGTTTTACGCCGCTTTTAGCAATATTCCAGCAACGTCACGGCGGGGGACACCAGAAATGGGCTTCACACATTGTGCCCATGTGGGGATTCGAACCCGGGTCTTCGGCGTAACGAGCCAACGCTTTACCATTAGGCTACCCCAACACCCCACATAGACTTACATACACACCCTTGTCTTACATAGACTTACAAACACACCCTGGTCTTACACAGACTTACATACACACTCTGGTCTTACATAGACTTACATACACACCCTGGTCTTACATAGAGATACATACACACACTGGTCTTACATTGACTTACATACACACCCTTGTCTTACATAGACTTACAAAGACTTATACAGACTTACATACACACCCTTGTCTTACATAGACTTACATACACACCCTGGTCTTACATAGACTAACAAAGACTTACATAGACTTACATACACACCCTGGTCTTACATAGACATACATACACACACTGGTCTTACATTGACTTACATACACACCCTGGTCTTACATAGACTTACAAAGACTTATAAAGACTTACATACACACCCTGGTCTTACATAGACTTACATATACACCCTTGTCTTACATAGACATACATACACACACTGGTCTTACATTGACTTACATACACACCCTTGTCTTACATAGACTTACAAAGACTTATACAGACTTACATACACACCGTTGTCTTACATAGACTTACATACACACCCTGGTCTTACATAGACTAACAAAGACTTACATAGACTTACATACACACCCTGGTCTTACATAGACATACATACACACACTGGTCTTACATTGACTTACATACACACCCTGGTCTTACATAGACTTACAAAGACTTATAAAGACTTACATACACACCCTGGTCTTACATAGACTTACATATACACCCTTGTCTTACATAGACATACATACATACCTTGGTCTTACATAGACTTACACACACACCCAGGTTTTACATAGACATACATACACACCCTGGTCTTACATAGACTTACATACACACCCTGGTCTTACATAGACTTACATACACACCCTGGTCTTACATAGACTTACATACAGACCCTGGTTTTACATAGACATACATACACACCCTGGTCTTACATAGACTTACATACACATCCTGGTCTTACATTGACTTACATAGACACCCTGGTCTTATATGGACTTACAAACACACCCTTGTCTTTCATAGATTTACATAGACACCCTGGTCTTACATACACACCCCAATCTCACAAAGACTTACATACACACCCTTGTCTTACATAGACTTACATACACACCCTGGTCTTACATAGACATACATACATACCCTGGTCTAACATAGACTTACATACACACCCTTGACTTACATACACACCCTGGTCTTACATTGACTTACATACACACCCTGGTCTTACATTGACTTACATACACACCCTGGTCTTACATAGACTTACATACACACCCTGGTCTTAGATAGACTTACATAGACACCCTGTTCTTACATGGACTTACAAAGACTTATATAGACTTACATACACACTTATGATGCCTGGTTGAATGGTGGCATAATCTAAACCACTTTTTTAGCCATTGCAGATTCTCTATTACATTCTCAACTTTCTTTACACAGTTTTGCTAGATTGCTGGTGTAATTCTACTTATAGCTTTGTATACTTCTGGATTTCAACTTCTTTTTATTCATTGAATCTATACGTTTCGGGGCCTGTTCTGGCCTCATCATCAGGTAAAACTAATTATCAGTAACTGGCTATGGACCGTCTCCGTGATGTAGTGGTTAGAGCGTCCGCCGACCAAAAGACGTTAAAATATGGTACTTGTTGGTCCCTGCCTGGCACTCGGCATTAATGGGTACAACAAGGACTGGTCGGCTCCGAGTCAGTATAATGTGTCTGAGTGGGGTATTCATGCTTCACTGCGGCATGGTATCTCAGTGGGCTAGCACTATAAAACTAGCTTCAGTCTGGGCTAGTACAAGCAGCCGCACATACACATACACACGCATGCACGTCGTCATATGAGCGAAATATTCTCAAGCACGACGTTAAACCCAACTCCACCACCAGCACAATGCTATGACGGCACAATACATGATGATGCAATACATGTGGAGGTCTTAATGGGTGCAGCTAACGGCTCCACATCTATTACGTTGTCATGTATTGCGAAAAAAGAAGATGAAATTCAGAAAATTCTTTATGTTTATCAAATAGCATCTTCGAAAATGCCAATCAAGCATCTATTTGTTTACTTCATTGGGACATTATTGGAAGTCGTGTTTATGGTCTCCATGTTCACCCCCAGATTCTTGATGACCTTGAGGAGGCGTTCCACAGAGATAATGGCAGAACATTCCACAACAGCAACTTTCAAGGCTCATTTGGTCAATGCAAAGATGTGTAGAAGCTGGCATTCGGCTCATGGTGGTCATATGCGTTACTGAACACTGCTTCACTGGTATTATTTAATTTGGAAAAAAATAATTGTTTTGGGGATTAAATGACTAAATGTGAGTTATTTCTCTAAAACATTAGGCGTGTCAAAAGGGCACCGAGAACATGTGTTTCCGTGCCCTTTCAATATTTTACCTGTGAAACAGTCTTGCAAAATGTGCTGCACTGATTTTGCTCCGTCAACGCAGCACATTTTGCACGACTGTTTCACGGGTACATGCTCTTGATGATTTGTAAGTCGATTATTGCTCAATACCATTTCTTTTCATTTTGTTAATCGTGTGTACATATGTTTCACCTTTCTATTGCATCATTCCATGATTTGTAATTTCAATAAATGAAAATGTAATGAGACTACATATTTGTGTTGCTTAACTTTTTGTGAAGAGTATACTTGTTGATTCCTTTTCAGCATTATACCTGACACTCTGGTTGTCACATGGTTGGTATCCAACACGATTCACTATACTATTACCACATTTCCATCACATTGTGTGTTCATGTCCATCAAACGCTTGCCTGAAAATAGGTGCTAGAAGACTTCATCAACGGATTAATGTATCTTGGTTTGAGTAAATACATTTATTACCCACGTGGTCAACCTATGGGTAGTTGCATATTAATCTCGTACATCACACGAGTGTCGTATCACGTTGTCCTGTGTCGTA